TTTGGCTCTCTTAAAAGGGAGCTTATTGAAAGGGTCTATATCCCCAAGGGTCCCCCTAATCCTAGCTCCCATTTGTGGCCCCCTTGATGGCATACTGAAACAACAGGAAAAGTACCAAATTAGGATCTGCCATGCTCTGCCCCCCCTCCCCCCTGCCGTCTGCACCTAGCACCAGGGCCGACATCGTAGACTTCCCCCAAAATGGCGAGGAGAAGGGGCCTAGTCCGATCCTGACCGTCGTGCAGCGCGAGCTCGGCCACGCTCCACACGCGAGCGCCCAAAATGCGCTGCTCGGCTTCGAGACGCGGGTAGGCACCTGGAAGTGCTGTCTTACGGTGTTGTTCGCTGGTCTTGTTTCCAGAGTTCTTTCGAGTTTATATAAGGAGCATCCAAAGAACGACACCCCCAAAACGGGATTTTCATTTCGAACAGCTCCACCTGCAGCGGCACCTTTCCCTTTGCGAGCTCCTACAGAGCTTTGGTTGCCTTGAGATTCCGACGCAGCGTGGTCGTCGGGAGCCAAGAAGGGCAGCAAGGAATATATCCTGGGTTGGCCCTTTAAAGCATCTGAAACATATTCTTAAGTAGGGTCCTCTTAAGACCAATAAGGGAAAACATAAAATATCCCAAGGGCCCGCCTAGTATCAGAAATGCGGCAGCAGCCACGAGAGCGGCTGCGCGCCAACCAAGCCACATGCTGCACAGGCTTCCCTAACCCAAAGGGTCCTAGGTACTGCTAGGGGGGGATACTTTCCCAAATCATGATATTTATTCCTAATATAGAAGCCCTACATTCTACTATATATATATATATATAGAGAGAGAGAGAGAGGGAGAGGTACTTAGGACCCTTTGGGTAACACGGTGCTTCAACAACGCTAGGTGTGAACAGAAAGGACCAGTTGGCCGTGGGAAACGGTATTCCATGCTTCTGCGTGCTGAGCTATCGAAGCCAAACATTGCCAGACTCCATTCACTCCAATGATCTAGCATGGAGCCCGAAAACCTCGAATGCAGGTAAGGCAACACAACGACGGATGTCAATTGAGTGGTGCTCCCACTCTAGTACACCCACTGATGCACCACCAACATAACTAAACTGAAGCATCAAACGCGGCTGTAGCATGGCCTGATACAGTACCAGAGAGTTCCGATCATCTGCATCGCTCTGGTTCTAGTTCTTCCTACTAGTACGAGCGCTTCTTGGAACCCCGGAACTATCCTTTTTAGGAGCCTATGGCCTATGACTCATCGCTCTAGCATTTATGTAGCCTTTTTTTGCTTGCAGAGACATAGGGGATGTAGGAGCGGATCCCAGGCGAACTCCACCCGAGTCCGGGGTGCTGCCCCAACAGGACCCATGTCAATGGCTGAACAGGGAACATGTAGCAAAGTTTTCGAGGGCTTAGGATTTATTAGCTAGGATACGATAGATGTTGAATGGTAGAGCGAACAAGTACACAAACAATGCGAGCACGGCAGCCGAAGCATAAGAATGTATGCACAAATTATGCGACGGCTGTCGCCATCCTCATGATCAAACATGATGAACGAACTTTCCGACTGGAGCGCTGACCGTTGAGGTGATGACAGCGACTGTTGCGTTTGGCGCTACAGCTCCACACTCATCCTGACGCAACTGCTTTGGGCGGGAAAATGCATGGCATTTCCAGAACCTGGACACGGCACCCAGCCCCAGACCCTAAACCCTAAACCCTACCTATAGTCTCCATTGTAGTTCCTTTTTTTGGTTTCACCAATTATATATGAAGGATTTTATAAGGTATCCCCCAAAAGGAACTACAATGGAGACTATAGGTAGACCCTTTCTACTCTATCTAGAAACCCGCGCAAGGCCGGTCTCCTCATGCCCTGGGAGAGGCCTCAATCCAGTCTGCCTCTTCGCAGAACTCCCCTTCGCTGTGTAGCTTCAAGTACATCCTGTCAGACGGTTTAGGGTTGCAGGGTTTAGGGTTTTTTCCTTCCTACACGGCAAGGACGAGCCCGCCTTGCAGGGTAGTTCAGAAGCTTTGACTACCTGGACCCTGAAAGTATGTAGAATAATGGCCCTTTATAGGTTTTGGGCCATTATTTTACCTACTTTTGGGGGTCTATAGGTATGCAACAGAGAATGTAGGGTTTAGGGTTTTACGTAGGGTTTCGGATGTTTAGGGCATGGGACTCCGGGTGTCAGGACCTGGCTGCATGCGTCGGGGCAGGCGTTTGGGGCCGTGTCAAGGCTTACCTATAGTCTCCATTGTAGTTCCCTTTTTTGGTCTAGCCATATATATATATATATTAACGAGTTTATAAGGTATCCCCGAAAAGAAACTACAATGGAGACTGTAGGTATATGTGAGGTTGCGCTGCGTCCCTGGTTGACTCCTGTACACCACACAACTTCCGCAGTCGCTCTTGACGACATCAACTCGGAACATTGTGACCCGTACATTACACCAGAAAATCCAGAGAAACCCCAACACCGTTTCAAGATTGCTGTGTGCGAGGGTTCGGGTTTGCGACCCCTAAACCCTAAACCCTAAATAGGTACCCGCAGCCGAAAGAGCCCTCTGCTCTGAGCGCAGGGATGCCATAGAACACAACCGAGACCCACAGAGCCCAATACCCCTTAAGTAAGGAATAAACTATAGGGGCCTTGTGGGGCCTTAAAATTATCGTTTAAGCTATATTCCTTAATTAGGGTTTTTTTGGCTCTCTGGGGAGAACAAGCACTCATGACTCGTGTGCTGCCAGATCGAAGAAGGACTGTCATCCCAAGAAGCGGCTCTGCTTGACCGTCGCAACCGCATCTTTTGGAAATACAGGGGTCGACAACAAGACAGCCAAAACTCGAGACGATCAAACACTGAGTGCAGAATGAAACTGCACTACCCTCAAGCCAAACCATATCGCTAAATCCCGAAAAGCCCCTAAACCCTGTCTCAGCAAGCTTTGGGCGTATGCCAGCATGCTGCTGGACTCCCAAGGTCTTCATGAGACCCCGAAACCCTAAACCCGCAAACCTGCAATTTCCGACAACCCTCTGTGGCCCCGAACGGCACAGCGCCCACCAGCTGGAAACCCGAGCGCGGGTTGTCTCTGCAAGCCTCAAACGGCATCAAGTGCTCGAGCTCCATCTTTGTGAATTGAATACAACTCCAGTTTCTCGACGAGGCTCTCGTTTTTGTTGTCTGGGAAGTTTCTCAAACCTACTTTAGCCACACGGAGCTAGGCCATAATGTCTATTCTATTCCTTTGCCCCACGACCTCGGCTTCTGGAATAGGGGATTCCACTGTTCCAGCTTTCTGGCTGACCTGTCAGTCTAGTTAAGGTTGAAACCATAGGCTCCTAGTATGGGCCCTTAACCCTGGAGTTTTTATACACCTATTATATACCATATATGTACCCTTTAAGGTCCCTGGAAAGGCCTAAGGGCCCATATGGGGGTTTCCGAAATTAGGGGACCCTAAGATAGTACTCTAAATAATAGGATCCTTATTATAAGGACCCCAAAATAAGGTACCCTAAGTTTCGGAAGATACCATATTAGGGGCCCGTACTTCTAACCTTAGCGTCATCCAAGCGCAGCAGCTCCCCAGTTCGCGCATTTTCGGCTCCTGCCGAGCTCTGACTTTCCGGGTCGCACTGCAGGGAAGCTACCATCATCCAAGCTGGGGCAGTAGATGCCGGGATCATGGTTTAGGGTTTAGGGTTTAGTTTAGGGTATCATGGAGTCATATGAGAAGCCCCGTAACAACTGCTACAAAGTTCGCATGCAAAGCTCACTCATAAGTCCGGCGCAATCTTTTCTGCAAGCCGATGTCCCTATCAAGGCGTACGGATCGGATGCTTTTTTCACGATCCAGGGCTTGTCCAACAATCTTTCCGGATTTCGCGGTTGCAAATCCTAAACCCTAAACCCTATAAACCCTAAACCCTAAACCCTATAAACCCTAAACCCTAAACCTTATAAACCCTAAACCCTACCCTCACCTGTGCCCCCGACCTTCCCGGAACTAAGGTCAGTGTCCCTCAGCCTCGCAGGTGAGGCTCTGGACCGTTCTGGTGGCTCAGCCGCGCACGCCGTGGGGCCACGGGCTTTCCCGTCGAAACTTCTCGTGCTCCAAGCTCTTGGCGATTCCGCTCCCAGGTTTCTGGGATGAAAGGGAGCTCCCCTTCCCAGAACAACACCCAGAGACTCCAATATCCCTTAATTAAGGAATATACCTTAAATCATATTAAGGATCCTACTAGAATTCAAGGTATATTTCTTAATTAAGGGATATTGGAGTCTCTGAGCAATGACCAAAGTATTGCGACTCCTTGGTCTTCGACTGCTCTAACTATTTACAGCACGGCTCAGAGTTCGTCACGGAGCTCTGAAGACCAAAATTCCTGCGAACAAGGCTCCCAGTGGTGCCGGCAGGCAGGATTCATGGTTTATGCAGCAGTGAAATTCTGAGGATGTGAAGAACTTGGGCGACACCCTAAACATGCGTCCTTCAGCTTGGTGATGTCTTGCATCTTCCTGGCATGCAAGGAACTACAAAGCCTACATGCTTCCTGCCGACTGCCATGCTCTTGTAGCCCTTGCAAGGCCCCGCCCCTGCCTCAACAATGAACCCCAACCAGTGGACCAGAGGATCAGGATTCAGCACCAAGTGCCGACGAAGCTGTTTGGGAGTCTGCGTTTAACTGCAGGTTCACACTACCATATTTGTGGCATGCCCGAAGCTGTAAATTGAGATCCTAGCGCCATGACCTTGCTATGGTCGGAAGTTTTACAGCCTTGATGTGGGACGCAATTAATCTCGCCGACAGGATGAGCATAGTGTAGGGGCCTTACAAATTGAATTGGGTTTTGGTGTATATTCTACTGTAATTGTAATAAAGAACAGTAACAATAATATTGGTAATTATTTAGGCTTTTTTTACTGTAAATCATTATGCCGCCGAGCACTATCGGTTCTTGCATGCCGGCCTTCTCGAGATCTTGCCATGGACCCTCCGGAAACCTTGACTAACCCAAAGGGTCCTAGGTACTGCTACCGGGGATACTGTCCCAAATGATTAATATGTATTCCTAATATAGAAACCCTACATACTACTACATGGGTACTTAGGACCCCTTGGGTAATTAATGGCAATTATTATTTCTCCAAAACGCATCTGTCCTGGCGTCACTCTCATAAGTTACACCAGCCGTGACATCGGAAGTCAGTGCGGTTCTTATTTCCACTATGTGGTAGGAGACATTGCGCTTTGTCCTTGGCAGACTGTCGGCGTCCGTGTCTAACCGAGTACTGTAGTGCTGGACTACCAAGTGAATGTCGACTCGACGGTCAAAACCCGTAACGTGGCCCCGAAACCCTGCAAGCAAAGCTTTGGGGAGCGCCTCGCAAGCGAGTCACCCGCTACGCCGGGACATCGCGCTGCGCAGGTCTCCTGGAGACTTTGAGGTGTCGAGCCTGCCTCTTACACAATTGGCGCCCTGCTCCACGAACGGTATTGTTATGGATGTAGATAGAAGTTTGCCGATCGACTTGCACATATGACGAGAGCTGGGACAGTCAGGCAGTTGAGATTGCAAACCTCTGATGATAGTCTTGCCCCACTGCGTCTTTAGCAGGGATTTTTCGGTTGCCCTCGAAGCAGCCAAGCCTGCTTTCCAAACTCCTGACGCTCATTCGGAAACTTTGCGGCACAAGTGCAGCACAAGATCGCACCACCCTTTGTGAAACAGGCCTCGTTCTCCCTAAACCCTTTTTGAACGAGGTC